GCGACATGACATGCGTCTCAGAAGCGTCGGCTTGCTTGGCTACGTGTGCATCCTCCAGTCTCAGTGATCCAAATTCAAAAATAATTGGGTCGAGTCAGTTGAATGACCCCTGCGAATTGGGTCAGGCCAGGGATGTGTGCGTCTGCTCGAAACCGGGTCAAGTTTTGTTTAAAGGGAAGTGTGTCGATTCGGATAGGTGTGGCTGCGTGTCGCCTGAAGACGGTGTGGCCCATGAGGTGATGGAGGAGTGGGGGAATTCATTCATTCATTCACCATTTCTTCATTCATTCATTTATTCATTCATTCATTCACTCGCTCACTCATTTATTCATTCATTCATTTTGTTGTTGGTGGTGGTGACCTTGCTGTTGTTGTTGTTGTTTTGGTTATCTATTTTTTCGCGGCGGTTGTTTTCGTGTTGTCTTTGATGATGTTGGTGCTGCTTTCATTGGTTCGCATGGTTGTTTACATGCTGCTGACGTCATCGTCATCATCGTCGTCATCATCGTCATCATCATCGTCATCAACAGTTGGGCACAGCGTGGTTGAACAGCAACTGCACACTCAACAGCACTTGTGCACTGAATCGCGAGGTTGTATCAAGACCATTCAGCTGCCCTGAAAATCTACAATGTGATGCTGGATCTTGTAGCGGTAATTAAAGTTCCTTCATCTATTCATTCATTCATTCATTCATTCATTCATTCATTCATTCATTCATTCATTCATTCATTCATTTATTCATTCATTCATTCGTTCATTCATTTATTCATTCATTCATTCTTTCATTCACTCATTCATTCATTTATTCTTTCATTCATTCATTCTTTCTTTCATTCACTCATTTATTCATTCATGCATTTATATCGTGTTGTTGCAGTTGTTGTTGTTGTTGTTGCTGTTGTTGTAGTAATAGTTGTTGTTGCTGCTGCTGTTGTTGTAGTAGTAATAGTTGTTGTTATTGTTGCTGCTGCTGTTGTAGTAGTAATTTTCGTTGTTGCTGCTGCTGTTGTAGTAGTAATAGTTGTTGTTGTTGTTGCTGCTGCTGTTGTAGTAGTAATTGTTGTTGTTGCTGCTGCTGTTGTAGTAGTAATTTTCGTTGTTGCTGCTGCTGTTGTAGTAGTAATAGTTGTTGTTGTTGTTGCTGCTGCTGTTGTAGTAGTAATAGTTGTTGTTGTTGTTGTTGCTGCTGCTGCTGTTGTAATAGTAATTGTTGTTATTGTTGCTGTTGCTGCTGCTGTTGTAGTAGTAATTGTTGTTGTTGTTGTTGTTGCTGCTGTTGTAGTAGTAATTGTTGTTGTTGCTGCTGCTGTTGTAGTAGTAATTTTCGTTGTTGCTGCTGCTGTTGTAGTAGTAATAGTTGTTGTTGTTGTTGCTGCTGCTGTTGTAGTAGTAATAGTTGTTGTTGTTGTTGTTGCTGCTGTTGTAGTAGTAATTGTTGTTGTTGCTGCTGCTGTTGTAGTAGTAATTTTCGTTGTTGCTGCTGCTGTTGTAGTAGTAATAGTTGTTGTTGTTGTTGCTGCTGCTGTTGTAGTAGTAATAGTTGTTGTTGTTGCTGCTGCTGCTGCTGTTGTAATAGTAATTGTTGTTATTGTTGCTGTTGCTGCTGCTGTTGTAGTAGTAACTGTTGTTGTTGTTGTTGTTGTTGCTGCTGTTGTAGTAGTAATTGTTGTTGTTGTTGCTGTTGTTGTTGTTGCTGTTGTTGTTGACATTGTTGTCATCATTTTAAAAAACCTTAGCTTGCTCGCCTCAAAACCCCTGCCAAAATGTTGGCACCTGTGTAGAAACAGACGATGGGAGTGACCTTCAATATTTCTGCATATGTAAGCCAGGCTTCTACGGATCCAACTGCCAGATTGGTAATTTTTTTATTATGAATTTTTTATTGTAATTTATGATAATTTATTATAATTTATGATGATTTGTTACAATTTATTACGGTTTGTTTTGGTTTATAATGGAAAAAGATTTTTGTCTCGATGGATGAATAATGATGGAGAGTGTGGTTTTGCTTGTATATTTCACAAATTAATTGTTTGTTTGGTTCATTTTGTTTTTTCATGAATTCATTTTTTATTCGTCCCTCCATTCGTTCGTTTCCACGTTCATTCGTTCGTTCATTCGTTCGTTCATTCGTTCGTTCATTTGTTCGTTCATTCGTTCGTTCACTCGTTCGTTCATTCGTTCGTTCATTCGTTTATTCAAATTTGCGCTTAATAAATCTTTCATTCATTTGCTATTTTATTCATTCATCATATTTTTTTTCCATTCATTCATTCATTCAATTGATTTATTTAACCATTCACTCATTCATTTATTCATTCATCCATTCATTCATTCATTCGTGTGTTCCTTTGTTCAATCATTCATCCATCCACCTATTCATTCATTCATTCATTTAATCACTTTTCTTGTCTTTCCATCCCTAACATTAACCCCAGAAACAAGCACCTGTCAATTTTTCGGCAACGGCCATCTGGTGACGTTCGACGGAGGCCAGCTTGACTTTTTGACCCCGTGTAAGTTCACCCTCGTTAAGGTCAACAGCAGCAAGGTCAAGGTCGCTAATGAATATTTCGCGGCACACTTGCGATTGTCGAAAAGAAACGGTTTTTATTCGGTCAAGTATTTGGAGATTGCACACGGTGGTTATGTGATCCGACTGATGAGGTCATATCGAATCGGAAGAGGTTCATCTAAGATTGATGTGACGGTATGTGACGATGATCGTCATCATTATCATCATCATCACCATCATCACCATTATCATCATCATCTTCCAATCACCCCGCAGGTCAACGGCCAACAGGTCAGCAACCTTCCAATCAAAACTAAATCCTTCACTCTACGCCCCCTCTCAAACAAAATCCAATACGAAAGCATTTCCGGTCACGTGATATCTCTAAGCTCTGACTGGCTAGTCGAGATCTCACTTCCGGTGAAGCTAAGATCCAGTGTCTTTGGACTTTGCGGAAACTTTGACGGACTGATTGGCAATGATTATCAAACTGCTGACGGTGTTGATGTGGCCAACCTGAGGAATGCCGGAAGTAAAATTGGAAGGAGCTACCTGGTGTTGGACGATCCGGAACATGCGTCGGATGAGTTAGTGAAGATGGATGGATGAATGGATGGATGGATAGATGTATGGAGAGTTGGAAAGATGGATAAAAAATAAAATAATAAAGAATAGTCACATGTTTTATAATTTAAAAACTATTCATCTTTTTTGTGTTGAAGATTAATTTTATTAAAACCACCAAAACATCATCAACCAATCAGATCATGCGAAGTAGAGATAACAGAGGAATGGGCGGAGCTTGAGAAGAAAGTGCCCCCTTCGATCAACGATAAGTGCAGTCTGATTGGTCAGTTTGAAAGTTGCACCAGCCAATTAGGAGTCAACCTGACTGCTTATTATACTCGCAGCTGTTTGATTGACGGCTTGGTTACTTGCCACCCCAGTGATGATGATCCTCCTGAAGAACAAGTACAGTCATTATCATCGATCTTACACGAACTCACACACATTTCTTATTTTCTTATTTGAAAACATTTTTTGAAACGCAACCACCATCATCATCATCTTCATCATCATCCCCATCATCACCACCACCATCACCCCACCATCATCATCATCATCATCATTATCGACATCATCATCATCATCATCCCCACCATCTCCAGATGTACTGCCACTCAATCGAGGCACTGGTGGAATCATGTCGTCGTCTACAACAGCCCGTAGCTGCCGATTGGAGGAGCGTTTTCGATTGCAGTACGCTGATGATGATGATGATGGTGATGATGATGATGGTGATGATGACGACGATGATGATGATGATGTCGAGATGATGATGATAAGGACGATGATGATGATGATGATGTCGAGATGATGATGATGAAGATGATGATTTCGATGGTGATGATAAGGATGATGATGTCGATGATGATGATGATGATAAGGACGATGATTATGATGATGATAAGGATGATGATGATAATGATGAAGATAAGGTTGATGATGATTTTTATGATAATGTATGTACTACATAGATTGTACATGCATATGGAGAGACCAATTCTGTCTGAAACCAACAACGCAACCGAATAGATTTCCGGTCTTAAGTGGCTGCCTGGCTACTTGTGGCGACATCCACTCAGAAAAATACTGTGGCGTGGCTTCTTACGACGCTGGCTGCTCGTGTGGTGAGGGGAAAGTTTTACACAATGGAAGGTGTATCAGTGAAGTTGAGTGTGCCTGCACTGATGAGATGGGGGCTGATAGAGAGGTTGGTTGGTTGGTTGGTTGGTTGGTTGGATGGTTGGTTGGTTGGTTGGCTGGTTGCCTGGCTGGTTGGCTGTTTGTCTGGCTGGTTGGCTGTTTGTCTGGCTGGTTGGCTGTTTGTCTGGCTGGTTGGTTTGTTGGTTGGTTGGTTGGTTAAGTTAATAGTTGACTGATTAGTTGTTGATTGCTTTGATTGCTGATTGGTTGATCGAAACTGACCTGAGAAAATAAAATTACCATCTCTTGATTGGTTACCTCCCAAAACTCCAACCAACCACATCCAATAGATCGGTGAACAGTGGTACAACGACGCCTGCACCCTCAAGTACACATGCACCGAACCAGGTACTATTGTACTCGAGAAGACAACTCAATGTGGGAAACTTTGTGAGTGATTGACAGTTTGAGTGAAAGAGAAAGTTTTGTGACTGGATGGATGGATGGATGGATGAATGAATGAATGAATGAATGAATGAATGAATGAATGAATGAATGAACGAACGAACGATCGAACGAATGAATGAAAGAATGAAAGAATGAACGAACGAACCAACGAATGAATGAAAGAATGAAAGAATGAACGAACGAATGAACGAACGAACGAATGAATGAAAGAATGAACGAACGAACGAACGAATAAATGAATGAACGAAACTTGTGATGCAAAATATTATAACGCAACCAACCCAGGCAAGAATGACCTCATAACCTACCTTACTTCTTCCGGGAAAAAGTGACCATGTTGAAAAACAAAAAAAATAATAATTATAATAATAATAATTATTATTCCAATTTTATATTATAACAATGCTCACAATTTATTCATATATGAACATATTTTTTCTGGTTATTCGGTAACTTGTTTTCAATGATTCATTGGTTGATTGATTTATTTCGACTTTGTTCCTTCATCCATCCATTCATTCATTCATTTATTCATTCATTCATTCGTTTGTTTAGTCATTCATTTATTCACTGATTTTTCATTAATTTTTTTGTTGATTGTATAATCGATTGATTGATTCGCTCATAAAATCATTCTTTTATTCATTCATCCACTCATTTTGTCATTCATTCATTCATTTTCTCATTCATTCATTTATTCACTCGTTCTGGTTTATTCTTTTATAATAATATTTGCCTCTTATTTCACAACGGTACGGAAAAATAGAAGAGTTAATCGTTAATAAATCATTCCTCAGATAAAATAAAATATATTCATTTAATAATAATTACTTTAATTCATAAATATCATTAATTAAGAAAAAAAATTATAATAATAACTATTATTATTATTATCATTATTATTATTATTATTTCTTTACAACTTTTTTATTGTAAGTTTTCAATCACCAATCGAAATTCATGCGAGTCAGATTGTAAAAATCCTCGTTAAACGGTCTAAAAAAGTTTCGAATCTTTTCGGTGAATCGGTCGGATAGTCGGGGATGGGCTAAACCCTTGCTCGTCGATAAACACTTTGTGCGGATTTTGGTAACATTTGCAACTACGTTCACGCTGTTGTTGTTGTTTTTGTTGTTGTTGTGTTTGTTGTTTACGAGATTGTTTATATCTTTGTTGTTGCTGTTGTTGTTGTTTTTGTTGTTGTTGTTGTTGTTGTTGTTTAAATGTTCGTTTATGTTGTCGTCTGTATTGTTGTTTATATCTTTGTTGTCTATGTTTTTGTTCATATCTTTGTTTATCGGTTTATACGTTAAATTATTATGTAATGTTTTTAGTATGATGATTTTAACTTTCATGTCGTTATGTGAAGTTGTTGTTGTTACTGCTGCTGCTGCTTCTGTTGTTGTTGTTGTTGATGTTGTTGTTGTTGAAGTTGTTGTATTTGTAAATGTTGTTGTTGTTGTTGATGTTGTTGCTGATGGTAACATTAACAGCGGGAATGTTATAGTCAGAGTTGTCGTTGTTGAAGTTGAGTTTGATGCAGCTGACGACAACAGTGATGACGCTGATGTGGTTACTACTAATGGTGATGGAGAGCATGGAAATACTGAGGAGGAAGAAGAAGATGATGATGATGCATCCACAAATGATGATGGGAGCAGAGACGATAGTGATGGTGGTGGTGATGGTGGTGGCGAAGATGACGATGATGAAAGCAACGTAGATGATAATGACGTCATCGATGATGATAATGATAATGATGACCTCGCATATTTTACTTGAATTTCTCCACACTCGTCATCCTCATCATCGTCATCAACACCATCCTCATCATCGTCATCGTCACCATCAAACATCACCATACAGTAAAAGCCTCTATCTTGGCTCCAAATAAATTTATCGCTCGTGAGAAATTTTTGCAAGCCCAAAAATTTTTCAACTTTTTGTAATTCATGGACTGGATTTGTGACCAGGGCTGCACCGTCCACGACTTGTAATTGGCTACGTTTGAAATGCTTCAGCCAATTGCGTAGCTGCAAATTGTAAAGGCTTCTTCTAATTGGTCGATAGGCGCTTGTGATCTCGTCCGTGATTGGATCGGTTGATAGTTCTTCAAAAGTTGGGTAGCGAATGTTTTGCTTCTGCTTGCTCTGCAGTACCTAATTGGTCGGTTGGTTGATTGATTAATTGATTGATTGATTGATTAGTTGGTTTATTAATTGTATATTTCAATTTCAATGTACTAATTTGTAAGTTCAATTTTTTATACTCTATGCGAGATAAAAATCTTACCAACAACATCAGCAACCACAAAAACAAAAGTAGCCCTTACCCCACCTTAGCATAATCAGACAATGCCCTTTCTACTGGATCCTTGACAATCAGTAAAAACTTCATCCGCCCACCAGATCCGTTCGCTTCCACTTCCGTCCTTTTAATCCTGGCTGGGACTTTCCCGGAGAAAAAATAGGCCGGCGTTTTCTCAACGGTTATCTGATTTTCTGTAGATGGTGGCATAAAATTTAGGTACCATTTGAGACCTTTTCGAAAATTTTCGTCGCTATCAAAAAAATGGGTTTCCTTTTTGGCTGCTACAACTGAAGGATGTAGGGAGAGGAACTCAAGGAGGGCCCGGGTTCCAGATTTGCGAGTTCCTATAATCAGACAGTGTGGGAAGCGTTTTTTAAGCTGTTGTTGTTGTTGCTGCTGGTGCTGGTGGTGGAGTTTGTGCGGATGATTTCGTTGTTGTTGTTGTTGCTGCTGCTGCTGCTGGTGGAGTTTGGGTGAATAATTTCGTCGTTGTCGTTGTTGTTGTCGTTGTTGTTTTTGTTGTTGTTGATGATGATGATGACGATGTTGTTGTTGTTGTTGATGATGATGTTGTTGTTGCTGTTGATGCTGTTGATGATGATGACGTTGTTGTTGTTGATGACGATGACGATGAATGTTATTTTTTCTCTGACTGTCATTCAGTCCAAACTGTCGAGATTTTATCTAAATAATTTTTTTTAAAAATTAGCTTTTTTTAAAATTACTATTCTCCACAATTAAATGTTTATTTAAAATGATTAATTCACATTATCATTTTCAATGATCAAATTAATTTATAATATTAATTAAACAATTAATAATATTAATTGTGGTAAAATATAATATCTATAATATTAATTCATAATAAATAATCAAATGATATTAAAACCAACCATGCCTTTATCAATCCATGCCTTGCTGGCATTTTTACGGTCATAGTTATCGTCATCGTTATCATCATCTTCATCATCATTATCATCATCTCCGTGGTCATCGTCATGATTATTTTTGAACATTTTGCATCTTTCAACTCGTCTTGAAGTGTTTCCTTCTCGTCCATCATCACCACCATCATCATTGTCACTCTCATCAGCATCAACATCAGCACCACTATCGGCATCATTACCACGACCTTCATTACTATCATCATCACCGCCGCTTTTCATTTCTTCATTTGATCCACTCGATCCATCTTCTTCTATCCATTTCCTCCTCCTATCCATACCGCAGTAGAACGAAACTGAAAGCGTGAGCGCAGCGACGGCCACAGTTACGAAAACGAAAACATTTTTGGAAAATTTTTTCTTTAGGTTATTTTTAGCCATTTTGGGAAATTCCATCAAATTTATTAATAGGGACGAAAGCAGTAGTAGTAGTAGCAGTAGTAGTGGTAGTAGTAGTAGTAGTTGTTGTTGTTGTTGTTGTTGTTGTTGTTGTTGTTGT